AAATTGCTTGGCTTCATTATTCACAACTTCTTTCAAAACGAATCTAAAATCATTCTTTACAAAGTATGTGTAAGGTCTATGGTTGACTACTGTTCGTTCTTGCCATACCATAGAACTAGATCACGTATAGAAAAGAAGGCTTAGGTTCAATTTGATTCTTTACTTCAGACTCCTTATAACCCTCCACATATAATATGGTTCTCACCCAATAATCACATGAATACGACCTTCGAGACAAAGCATCTACGGTCAAAGTTGAGAAATACGAATTACAGACTCGGGAAAACTTCTTCCTTATCAAGTATGCATTAATATGGAACAGCCTTCCCCCTGAAATACGCATGGCAGATGGATTACATACGTTTGGTAAACAATTATCCTACATTATACCCTTCTTAATGCCCATACTCTGATTGGCAGCCTATACTTTCTACCATATTCACTTAAACATTGCATCGATGCCTTACTCACACTCCATCTTTTGTAACTGCCTGATTAACGTGTAGAATGGTAGTGTTTTCCAACAGGATGCGAAAAACATAGCGTCGTGTGAGATATGATATATATCCAGAAATAAGCTTAAATGCGCGAAAAATCACAAAAAGAGGGAGGGTGGAGTTACTGACCAGTAAGCATTGATGTTGTGGGCAATGACTTTAATCCACCCATGTTTGTGATGCAGTATAATTTGTTTGTGTCAGACTTTATGAATGAGAACAAGTCGATCAGTCTGCGATATTGAAGTCGTTCTTCTAAGCTCACCATTTAGACTCATGTTTACAATTTTATGCTGGATTAGCTACTCTACAAAAATAACCTATGACATACACACTCGGACTTTTACACTAGAACTGTGTGGCCGACATCGGAGCTAAAAAATCAGACAATAAAAGATGTGATTATTAATTTACTTAACACCTTATTATCTTTATGCACATTCTTTTCGAACAAACAGCCATCTATATTCCAACCTTGACTTCCCTTCCACCATTCAAACCTGCTCCGCCTTGGTAAGTATCGCAACTAATTGTTCTTTATTACTGCGTTCTCTCATCTGGAGCCTCTAATCACATTTAACTCTAGCAACGAGAGCTAGTATGAATTAAATCTAATGAATTTTCATACCTCTGTCTGCTGCACTACAAAAATCTTAAGCATTGTTTAGTGCCCATATCCAAGTGCCTTGCTGCTCCTCTGTTACGATTTCTTTCAGAATCTTGCTCTGAGTGCACAACCATGGAACTTCAGATGTCTGGAACGATCTTGATGTACTCGTTTTCTTAAGGTCATAGTTCAAATCAAGCGCTCTACAAGTCCACTTTACAAGAACCATAAACTTATAAAGCTGTATTGCATAAACACTTGGCAAGACCAAAATTCTAAAACGATTATGCTGTGATTGGATCTGGTACGTACCGTGGACCCCATGTCACTTTGGAAAATATTAAAGCATAAACCTGATCATTAACGCTTCAATATATCTGTATGAATGTACTGTTATTCACTTTTATTGAACATATCTATTTAACTACCCCATTTGAGGAGCATACTGTGAGCCAACAAATGTTGTCATTTGTAGATCATGCTTGTAAAAATGACTTGTACCTTCAGTTGCAGAAATATATTATTATTATATCAAAGAAAAGCAAATCACGCTAAGTAGTCAGAGGATTAATCCATCATTGAGGACAACAAAAACTCACATGAAAGAGAATCCACCAAGTTTTAGATCTTTAATTTTATAACCCCGTGGTATCGTGAAGTCACCAAAACGCCTTAAGAGTCTGATCGTAAGGTTTGTTAATTAAAGTAGAGGTGCAAATGATGCACAGGTTGAACTCAAACACAAACATTTTGCCAATAAAATACCTACGTAAAATAAATAAATTACTAAAGCGCTTTCATTCTAGTGGCTGGTTATCGACAGGATGTCAAACTACTACCTTTCACAGGTACATTTGCATATTGCAGGACGAGGAGGCGGTATGTGGGCTTTACAAATCGAAGTGGTCAGCTTAACAATTGACTAGTTTTTTTCTAGACTCGTTTAATTGCACATTTTACAATTGTCGTCTTTAATCTAGTTAATAATCATTATTGTCAGTTGGTTTTCCTGTTGAAATACCGTTCGTTATTAATCTATTGGGCTGTATTGTGATGTTTTGAAGAGCTACACATAACCAGCTTATTACACGTAATATGTAGTCGTCCTACTTGTAAAGCCAGCGGTTACAGGCAGTTACTTGTTTCGCAGGTAACTTAAGATTTCTGTCTCATTAGCAGACTAAAACAAATTCAGGGTCTTTTTACACGATCTGGTAACTATACATTTAAATAATCGCGTCATAACACAACTGCATAATCTGTATGATCTTATGTCGAAGTTGCATCATCGCTATTCTGTCTCACATTAAATGGTATAGTAGGGACATTCCTTTGCAAGAAATTTTGAGGGACATCGAATCAACTAATAAATTTGTCTTTCCCATCTGAGGTCTGATTCAATTAAACCATCCAGTTCATTGGTCTCTGTACACCCCAACGACGTCCACCCAAGCTATAGATCTTCATTATTGAAAGCACAAACTCTTCAGTAATGAAGTCACTAATCTATAAAAAATTGGGTAGGAGTACAAACTCAAGTGATCTATGGAATTTTGTGTTGAGTTCTCTGTCGGCCTTCATCATATCTGAAGAAGGCAATTCTGTTTCCACTCTTTTCATTTAGTCAAAAAACACAGGATACCTGAAAAGCCACGTAATTCAGGCTTCATTCATGACACACCAGTAAACTAAATAAAGATTTTCTAAGGTTCATCGCGATAGTGATAATTCTCGACAACTATAGGAAAAGGACAGTTTGTTCAATGGTAGAGGGACAGCTTAGGTATTGAGTTAACGACAATTAAATCACTGGCACTCCAAGTAATAGTGAAGGGTCGACACAGCGTTCAAATTAGTAAGTTGACTCTTTTTGACTGTGAGAACTTGAAAGTCCACATTACGAAGAACTCAAAGCCATTCTGCCCCGATACAGTATAAAGAACTTTATGTGACCCATACAAAACAATACTTATAGCATAAAGTTTGTTTGAATAAGCATATTTTTTCAATTAAAACACTTATAACTAAGAAAAAAACCGTAAAGCAAACGAATAAAACGAAGAAAAGGATAGCATTTAATATTGTTCACCGGGTCGGTGGGAATGAAAGACTGTTGGCAATTAGTCCGTGACCTTAATCGGTGATTCGTATATCTCCAGCCTCGAAGTTTTTATAAATATCAATACCATTCCTCTGATAAAGAAACGTTTTAGCTGAGCTGGAGTATGATATCATGAATGAGGTAAGATTTCTTTGTAGCTATTAAGGTTAGAGTCAAATGTTGAATTCTTACTGAAATATCTGTTATATGGATTCGTTTACATACACTACAGTAACTAGAAATAAAGGTAAACACTACCTTTTCAGAAGTTAGCTTGTAGTGTGACGTCGAGTCGCGATTGACTATGATCACCACCACAGGTAGACTACGTGCCAGTTAACTGATAAGATCCCCCTTAGGGCAAATATCAGAAGGCAGCTGGTGGCTGTAGTAGAGATGTATTTGTTGGCGATCCCGTGGTATCGAAATAATACCGAGATCGTGCCAAAGGTGTACAAGCGGAACTACTGAGCAAACGTAAGGTCACAATCAACGGAAGGAAGAATGTATTTATTCTGGTACAGTTAAACAAACAAGTACGGTAAAACAATCCCTGGTACGATTGGTTATAATAATAGTTGTTTCCATTACATCAATCGCGTTCCCTTGATAAAAAAGGTCACTACAAGCCCACCACTGCTCCAGCAAGGACAATGCTACTAGTCAGTCAGTCACTTTGATTATGGCAGAATCAGATGATGATGATTTCCGGAAACCTTATGAATGATACGCTAATGATGGCTTAAGTGATTGGAGGGACAGAATAACTAGAGATGGACAGGGAGATAGAAAAATGTCACGCTTAAGTGGACATGTGTAGGGTTTCAGATAACTGCAGTATGTAAGTGTTTTGGATGTTAATTAAAGTTGTAGTTGAAGCCTTCCCAAAACGTTCGAGTATAATTGTCATTTTATCTGAGTATAGACAGCGCATGAAATACAGACATGAAAGTAGAGATAATTGGTGCGATAAGTGAGTGTACAGACAAACATGGACCAAACACACGAAAATGATCAAAGAAGTGGATAACTAACTAGGGTACACATATGAAAATGGATCAACAGTAACATAGATCAGAAAATATAATCTGCAACGTTACAAATGAACATAAAAAGGTCAGAAAATGTTATATAATAGCCTGTCGTAAATTTGGTTAAGTGTTTGTGATTCGAGTGTATATGAATCTGAATGCATATGTGTCTGTAACTTAGTTTTATTTGACCTGCCCAGAAACTAGAATGGTCTGTAGCGTGGCGTCGGGTCGAGACTGACTATGAACACCGCTACCAAGAAACACGTGCCAAATAAATCAGAAGGCGAAGGTTGAACGTAACCAAATAAATCCATAAAATCCCCGGAAAGCCAAATATCAGAAGGCAGTTAGTGGACCAAGTCGAGTTATATTTGCTGGCGATCTCGTGGCATCGAGAGGATACCGAGATCGTGCCAGGATAGAAGTTTGGTTACAGAACGTAACCGAATTCGCGCGAAGTTACAATCAAAGTGTAAGTATATGAATGGAAGCACAAGATAGCTGTAATTAGCACAGTCAAACAAAAGCACATTAAAACAAACACTGGTACAGTTGGTTATAATAATAATTGTTTTTATTAAACCAGTCGTGTTCTCGTGATAAATGTGAGTCACTACAGGTCTATGCTAGCAGTAGTGTAATTTCGAGAGATAATCAATGGATTATGTTACGCGTGAAACCAATATATGAGTATTACTGCTCAACGTGGTTTGAAGTTATGAAGTTATGGACATCTCCCATGAAGGTGTAAAAGATCCAATATTTTATGCTAGCCATGTTGAGAGATATTGTACACTGAATGACAATTGCACCTCAAGGTCCTGGTCTCGTTTTCGTCGGATTTACGTTTCGCTCGTTTATTTACTTTTTCGACACTTTCGTCAAACAAGTTATTTTACACTTCACACCATTATGTCATTTATGGAGAGCGAAAACTGGTTAGCGCTCTTCGAAAGTGTATCGCGAATTAGCAAAAGCAAGGGTGCTGAACTCGATCAAGAATCTGATGAAAAACGTAAGCAGTTTAGTGGTTCTTTTATTTTTAAGCTTTCACCAGGGCGGAGATATCATACCTCAACAAGTTGCTGAATTCTAAGCTTTTTGAGACGCACGACTTGGACTTTGAAATCCTGCGGTCTGACCCCAACCATCCTCTTCATTCCGTTCGCACGTTTCAAGAATTAAACTTGTAAGCTTTTATGTTGTACCTTAACTATAACAGCAGAAAGGAACCTCTTCTGAAAGGTATTGCAGCTATGGGGTTTTACAAACCATCCACTATACAAGAGCGAGCTTTGAGCAGCCTAATATCTGACAAGTAAATACTGATATTTTGTTTGGATGTGATTGATTCAACGTGCCTTGCAGGCTTTATATGGGGGGGGGAGGACACACGTTTTAACCAAAACTTGTACAGCTTTGCCTTGATTAATATTGTGTTGGGGTTATTCGACACTGCTTTTACTTTCTAGCTTCACTTAATCTTACAGTTGACACCTATGTTCATAAGTAGTGTACACTTGTCATGAAAAATGCCCGATTATTTTATAAGATGAGTTGTAAGTATGGAAGCGGATCTTATTATTCACAATCATTTATATTTTTTTAAATGACATCTGTTACATGCAAGTTTGTACTCACGCTGAACGAATGCAGCTATTCCAGCTCTTTTAGTCTAGATATAATTTGCTCACTATCTTGAATAGCTTTGTTAAACTAATAGGCTTCATGCCTGTCTGTTTTTATGTTTTTAGGTGTTGGTTCTGCACAAGATTGTCCAGACACTAGTGATACTTAGTATACCTCGTAAAAATTCGAAAGCTCTTGTCATCTATAAAATAGCTTTTCACTTATTTACCATGTTGATCGCTCATTTTAAACATGTTGAAAGCTAATAGTAAAGGACGTCAACTATGTTAGTGTTTTTTCGTACTTTACCCATGTTTATTATTATTATTTTATTTGGACACATATATATTGGTACAAGGAGGCACCAGATACATATGCGCTATACAAATCTCATTTGATTTGCATGAGGGTTGTGATATTGCCCGGGTGCCCAAACTGAAGCTGGTGGTTTTCTTAGGGGGCAACACGTGGAGCCTTCCCAGGTAGATGCCTTATACTTATGGGCGTGTGAGGGCATTTCGAGAGAGAGAAAATGGACTCTCGGCCGTACCAGGGCATTCGGGTGCGTTGTCAAATGAAACAATTTTTCCACTGTGTATGGTCTATATACTGAAAGGGACAAAAGTACAAAATGGATAAATTCAACGCCTTTCATGTATATTACTAGTGTTGTTTCTCAGACCTAAATTGTACGAGTTTCAGTACTGGATATTAAGAATCAACCGTATTACCCTGTGGATGTAAAACGTAGTTTATAAAGTCATGAACATACATTAATCGATAATCCTCTACTGTAGATAAGTTAGTAACGCTATCATTATTTGCGATAAATCAGTCATAAGCCATCTTTTATGTAGTGATTTTAGCACATTTTGTGTAAACATTATTCATAACCTTGTGTATCACGTTGCATGGCGTATAATATATTAGTGGTCAGATTGATACATGTTACTTGTCCACAGGGCCATCAGGCATTTGTTTGGATCATGTCTAGTGGTGCAGACTTGGTGGATGAAACATTCAAGGAGAACGTAGTCGGCTTCTGTTAACCTTGTGATGCAACCGGTATTTAGTTGCATTTGGCCACTTACATTCAGTCTAAATCGTGGTGTTAGTCTGGCTGTTAAAGATCGGATCTACAACGCGCCGGTGAGAGCCGTTTCTCTCTATTCTTGTGAAACCTGGCCTCCGAGTTGAGGGTGTTATATGACTTTCTGTTTGATCACCATTGTTCGAAGGATTGCTAACATCCAGTGGTAACACCATGTTAGTAATGCAGAGGTTCGGCATCGTGTGTTCGGGCGCAGAGACGATAATTCTGTTGGTGTCACTGTCTTGGAACATCGACTTCTGTGGCCTGGACATGTCCTACGAATGTCGCCCCAGAAAATTCCACGTCACGCATTATTTGCAGAAGCTAGAATCGATCGGAGAGATGGTCACTATGTGACTGTGGCGGTGTTAGCGGGACACAGACTGGATTAAAGCATGCTCAATGCACGATTGCTTCGGTTCACGCTGATTGGCTAATTCTTGTCCAATCAGCACTAGTCAATACTTGGAGAACACTCTGGAATCTTCTCGTGTAAAAACTATAAATATACTAACGTTTTACCTATTATGCTTCTTACTTCCATTTAACCTTGTTATTTGAAATATAATCTCTTTCCTGTTCAACCGTGTTCTGATTTTGGGGCTTGTCGAGTGAATCGGTGTCCGAAAATACTAAGCAATAAGAATAGCTGGGTCATAACCATAAGAAAGAGATTATAACAGGCGGTATGAAAGAAAGCTGTACAGGACTCCCTGGTTGGGGTCCTGGAGATGGTGCAACTCAGTGGCTAGAAACATTATCAGATATGGTTCAGAAAAGAAGCCAGTGGCGATCCTGCTGTAACTTTTATTTTCTTCATAAGAAATGAACGTAATTTCTTTAACTGAAGGAATTCTTTCTGGTTGTATTTTACTAACTGCCTCTTTATTATTATTTCACTCTCATGCATTAATTTCTGTTCGTTGTTTCCCTTTTATTTATATGCATTTTACATTCCCTACTTCTTTACAGCCTCAATATTATTGTGTGGCACATATGTATTTGGTGCCCCTTTGTATCGATTTTTGTGTTCAAATAAAAAAATATTAGTACGGGTGTGTAGTATATAACTCCAAGTATTTTGTTTTCAATTGTAGTTTGTTTTTTGACTTCTCAACTTCCTATTGCAGTTTCGCTTTCCACCACATCTTTTCTTTTGTTGACTTACTGTTGTTATAACTAAGACGTATAGAACCCGAGCCTGTACACATTATTACTGTTTTGTCTGTTAAGTTACTTGTTATGGAAAATCTAAGCATATGTGAGTGGAGTTTAATTTACGAAGTTACTCCAGTTTTTAAAATAGACGATACAATTGCATTACGCAGTTCAACTGCCCACCTGATTCTTTGCAGATGCATTCCGTTTTTCGCAAAAATTACATCCAGTTATCCTAAAAATGTTGATAGCAATAATAACACAGTAGTTTGATTTCTGCGAAGTTGAGGCTTGGTAGGATTTTTAACAATACTTAAAGAAAAATGCGAACATCACTGAGATTTCTATACTTGTGAAGTGAATGATAAATAACAAAATGCTCAAAAGTTAGAAACACATAATGAGTGAAATAACCTGCAGCATTTTGATGGTTTCTGGGGTATGCAGTTTAGGTTTTACTATAAAGAACTTTATCCTATGGACCTCATTCTATCTACACCTCATCATACTATTCAGACCAACACCCATCGCTTTCATGTAATGGTGCTACATCTTGTTCTAGCCGTTATTGTTTTTTTTTCAAACCTAGTCTTATTCCAGCCATAGTGGATACTGATTTGGCATGACCCATCTACCTTTATTGGTCATGACTCACAGCCTTAACGGCTTTCTTGTCTAAAATTTCGTGTTTAACTTTACCGTTGCTGTTACATGTGAAAAAATGTTTGGAATATACCTGTGGTCGAATATCTGTAATCTAAACACTATCCTCAACTATGTTTCATAACTGTTAAGTATCACGAAACGGGTTGGTTTTATTTATTTCACGTAACCTGTCTTATGCTACTAATGTAATAATATTCCGCTTATCGAGAACAGGTTTATACGCTGACTTTTAGGCCAGGCTTTTTGTACGAAGGGTGGTGATATTACCCGGTTGTCCAAACTGAAGTACATGTAATGAGGTTCGGACCAGGGACCTACTAGTTGAAAGTTAAATGCTTCAGCCATTAAGTCTCTGCCTCACTACTATGTAGTAACATAATTTATTTCCTTCTTATTTGCTTTCCCAGCCCACAAAATATGATTGCACAGTCTCAGTCTGGTACTGGAAAAACAGCAACATTTCTTCTTGCTATGTTGTCACGTATTAGCACAGATGTACATTACTGTCAATGCTTGTGTATGGCACCTACACGTGAGTTGGCATTGCAGATAGAATCAGTTGGTCGACAAATGGCACAGTTCATGACGGAGGTATCTTTTGCTACAGCAGTCCGTTCACCACGTGGTATAATGGATTTTATGAATTATTTTGTTTTTTGTCCATATTATCAAAACATAAACTTGTATTTGCTTCATGAAATCTTCAAAAACAGTTATTTACTTTCGGATGTCAATGAAGGGTTTGGGAAGGTTTTCGTAGTAATCTATTTTAAATTGGTACAGTATAGAAATTTTGTTTATTAGTTAGGCTTTCCAACACTAACTGCTTATTAATAATTATTGACTGGAGTAAAGCACCTTTCTAGCTTCTTATGACACGCATTAAGTCATAGACAACTCGTTTTTCGTTATTCATTTGTTTAGTTAAGTTCAGTCTGTATAGTTATATAATAATACTATTACCAATAATAATAGTAACAGTAATAATGGTTTCACTCAGTTGTATCTGCTTGATACAATATAGAAATTTCAGCCCGATATTTCAACAAGTTTCTCTTACACTTATCCGTCGTAAGAATTAAATATACATGCACATATACGTAATATAGGCAATTAAAAGTATATAAAATTAATTGAAATATTTTAGGAAAACATTCTGTATAGCATTAAATCAGTAATAGGTTTAGAAGTATAAGTTTTCGATTAGGTCATCTCGTACAATCTGTTCGTTGCAATGGTTCGTACTGCTTTGTAAATGTGCGTGAATAAGCCATAGGGCTTGTTGACAGTGAATTTAAAGGGAATAAAGGTAACCTGTTGAAATATTCGATTGCTGAGAAAAAGTAGGTATCCCAGATATACAAGCAAGCTTACTGGTGAAGTATTTAGCTTTCAATTAGTGGTACGTCGACCCTCCCATTATCTATCTGAACAACATCGTCAGTCCTCACATTCGGGAAAATGTAGCTCAAAGCCAGGTACGCGATCTTGATCTTTATAATAAGCTTAAATCATATCAACCAGATAGTTAAGAAAATATCAATCTTCTGAAGAGAGTTCTAAGCAGAAGTATTCAAATATTCTTCAGGTGTTTATTTAAAGTAGCGTATTTGATATGATAACTTTATTTCAGTGAGTTTGTTTATTACTGCATGGTTTTTAATTTTGAAAATCCATGTTTTAGTCAAAGTCGATTCGAATGGGTACGTAACTGATCAGATTGTTATTGGTACTCCGGGTACAATCGCGAATTGGTTTCGTGGTACAGGAGAGTATCGTATTGATCCATCCAAAGTTGTTATGTTTGTATTAGATGAAGCTGACATAATGATAGAAGAAGAAGGTTTTCTCAATATATGCATGCGGGTTAAAAAGCAAGTTAGAGGATTTTTTGTTTTTCCTTTCCTTTATAATTCTAATCGACCATTTTTTAAAGTAGAAGGTTTGGATGCCTGCTTTTTAAGATAAACTGATTATTATTTACTTTATGGTTGGTTGTTTCTGTTTTTTGATTATCACTTTTCAATATTAGTGAACTATTTGCTAACTGGAATGGCGTTTGAGAATTAAAATGTCGCTCTGACCCTGAAAGTATATTTCACTAAACATGGGTGTACCCGTTTTTAACCTTCAGCCGTCATTGTGAATGATTTTCTAAAATATCGGGGTAAATTTAATCGCTCATGGGTTTTTTATTAAACTTAAAGGATTCGTCTCCTTGTGTCGGGGATTTCAGGTGTGCTTTCATGAAGAAGACTATGTATTGTTGTAATACATTTGGACTGGAAAATTGTCAATACTGTAGTTAGCAATTCAGATTGCTACTGATACCAGTTTCTTGCCACTATTCACTAACAATTTAAATTTCAGCGGAAAGAGAAATGCTTAGCTTATATTTTTATTGACTAGCAAATCCTTAACTTGACTGAAAATCGATTAAATATTTATAAATGTATTTATTCTGGGAAATACGTGGACTGAACTCTATCTCAGAATTCGTGCGGTACTAGGGAAATAGTTTTCGGAGCGTACTGACGAGTTGCAAACAGCAGCTTCATCTGGTGACTGCTGGAAGCTCTTTCGCCTCATCCAAGTCGCTGGCAGTAAGAAGTCTGTTGCGAGCGGAATAATCTATGAAGTTTTTGAGATACCAATCACGAACATCTACCAAGGTCTTGAACGACGGGTCGGGTTATTCGAGGAACATTTCGACTGGTCTGCTACTGATCTTATCCCACTCATCACATATATGTAGCTTATTTTTGTGTGACTATAAATATTGATTAACTCTCGGTTAAGTCGAATTGGCTCACCCTCCATTTCTACCGCGCGTCATTTCGCTTCACTCTCTTCGCTTCTTTCATCTAATTGTCTGTCCAGATGAGTGTACAAAGTATACGTATTCAAAACTCCGTTCTCTTATTTCACTTATTTAATTCCGTTATACCCTAAAGCGGATCAGGCCGATAATTTTATACGAGGATAGACGATATGTATATTTCAATAACAATCAATCATAGAATCTAATTGGAGTCAGATCTCGGGCCACAAAAATCTAATATTTCTTACATTTTTTTTGTAAGTAACTAGCTTCGTTCTTGTCTATTTGGAATACTCACTAAAGTTCATTTTTGTTTAAGTAATCATGTTTTAATACTTGTAGAAATCCCAATTCTTTCCAGTTTCCATCCTAGTCAGAACGACTCAAAAAGTAAATAGATAGTGTCAGACTTGTATTCAATTATTACTAAACTGAACTTAAGTTAATAAAATATTTAATATAAATATTTCGTTATTATTAGAGTATACGTTATTTAAAAGACTAGTATTTGGACGATGAATATTCTTTTCGATAAATTCTCTTCAGGTTCTACAATTATATATCCAAATTAATAATCCGAAAAATGGCCAGGTTAAGGGCAAAGTACATCGTTTAGAGCATGTGAATTTAGGATTGTGATAAACAAAATACAATAAAATTATTAATGTTAATATGACTCATATAGAATGTTAACTTGAATCAGCTTATATGTTAAGTAAAATTTTAAGACCCATGATCAGAATAAATATGGGTCAAGTAGGGTGAGAGAGAAATAATAGTGCAATTACAATTCGATCAAATAAGATCAAAGGATAGACAGACACCATCATCCATTGCAACACATTTGATTGAGACGGGTCATTTGTGTTGTGCAAATGCCTTCAAGGACGTATACTAAGGTTTATTAAAGCCTTGGCTATACGAAAATTGAAACCCCCTTTATGCGTTCAAAAACAATTTGCGCTTACACGTAACCTACCCTGGTAGTACCGATTTACTATCCGGAGTGGTAATCACGTTTGGTTTTGTGTACTTTATTATTTTTCCTTTGTTATGACTTACCCTTAACCTGTCTAGTTGACCTTTTAATTTTCATATATAAATGTTCTTAACAAGTATATGTGTGATCAGATTGTTCGAAATGTATTGCGCAAATATATCACATAATTCTGATAAACTACGTTTTCTCATTGCATTATCGAAATTTAACATGTAAGCTGATTCAAGTTAACATTCTATATGAGTCATATTAACATTAATAATTTTATTGTATTTTGTTTATCACAATCCTAAATTCGCATGCTCTAAACGATGTACTTTGCCCTTAACCTGGCCATTTTTCGGATTATTAATTTGGATATATAATTGTAGAACCTGAAGAGAATTTATCGAAGAGAATATTCTTCGTTCAAATACTAGTCTTTTAATATGACGGGGATCTTTATACGTTATTTCATGTTATTTCTTACCTGTACCAACTCCGTAGGAAGTTGTCTAGAAATTGCCAAATCCTATTGTTCTCAGCTACGTATGAGGATTCCATTATTGATTTTGCACATGAGTTTGTTCCCAATCCGATAGAGTTTCGCGTAAAGCGTACACAACTTCCTTTGAAGAATATTAAACAGTTTTACATGTGCTTTAATGATTGGATTGAAAAGTATCAGGCGCTAAAAGATATATATGGAGGTTTTGAAGTTGGCCAAGCAATTATATTTTGTGCAGTAAGTTTTATATTTTGTTGAATTTTTAGCTGATTAAACATAACTATCGTATCAACGTCGTTATCCAACTGATGAATATAATGGAATTCATCGTGGTTCGTTCTTAGTTAGCAAATTAATCTATGAAGAAGATCCTCACCCGGATGTATACTGTAAATGATAAAAACCTGGTCCATCAAAGCTTTGGGATTGTTATGTGTTCTGCGCAGATTAATAATACTGTCACTTAGGAGGGTTAGGGAACGGTTAAATCAGCTGGAAAGAAAAGTCGAATCGTTCAGAAAATCAAGCAATAATGTCAATTTTTTCATATTTGGTCATATTTATATGATTTTTGGGTAAACATAACAACTGAACAGCTTAATTCAGAGAGCTGAAAGTTTTTTCAAGTCGTAAATTTATGGTTGAGAGTATTCCACCGTCTTATTTTACTCATTACTCAATGTCATGTAGAGATAGTTTACCTGAGTGGCTTTTATATCATATTCCCAACCTTACTTATTTCGTCTGTTGATTTTTGGCTACTAACTAATAGCAAGTAGTTCAACTACATTTCATTATTTCTACGTTATGCGTTATTTAGTACTCACAACGAATCAAATCTCCGTTTGTATTTGTATTTCGACGTTTTATTTTGTTTGTTCAATACTTTAACTACCCATCAAAATCAATCTACTCCTACTGTAGTGCTTCAAAGAATAACATTGTTTCGGTCAATTCAAATTGATCTATACATGTCTAAAATACATTTGTGCATGATGCAGCAGATCAAGCAGCAACCTGTATTTATAATTTTCACTGTAAAAAAGTTCCATAGCATGACCTTTAGGCATCAGTTCCGTTATTAACAGACTGTAAACTATTGCTACCAGTGTTTGGATCAGCGAAGTTACTCCTTGTATTTACTGCATTCGGTTTACAGCGACAAGCAGCAATTACAATAATAGTAATCACCCGTTAGAAAAATGCATCATCACGACTGTTTGGTCAACACACTGAACCAATAGTGGACAGTTTAGCAGCGGTCAAAAAATCTGAATTAGGAGTTTATCGTGCGTTTAGTGAAAGTTTGTTGTCTATTAGTTGACTTCAAGGCGATGGGAGACAGGTATATTTTTTCCGTTCAAAAGGCCTAGTTCTTGTTTTTAGTGAAAAATTGTAGGATATTTTCCTCAGAATTGTGGATGAATGTCATGTGTGTGCCACGTGTCGTAATTGTCCAATTTTTCCAGCGATCTCACAGTGGTCATTCAAAACGTCAAGTTGAAAGTACCCCCACAGTTCCGAAGGTCTTATTCCTGAACATTGAATTTGAGGGCGATACGTCTGCGGAGATAATAAAAAATAGACAATCTAGGCCTCTGATGAAGACATTTCATCTAGCGAAGCTCTGAATTTGTTCTTAAGTAAAAGTGTCATTTGGGTAAGTATCAAGAAAGTTGATGTTTTGGAGCCTCTTAATACCTACTTATCAGTTTACATGCCCTTGTAGAGCAGGCTGTATTGGTTTTACAATGCGTACACTTGGTAAAGGAATATCTGAAAATTACCCGGTATAGCTATTTCAAGGAGAATGTAAAGTGATCGATAGCTTAATCCTTGAATACATGGTCAACTCGGGTCAGTTGCCACTACAAGAGTTAACACACAAGATTATCTACTATGTTGAAAGAACTGACTCGAATAAGGTTTGGACTAGGAATTCGTGCACAGCTGGGGCTACAGCAATTCACCACTTCAGACTTGACATCTGCGTATAAAAGAATCCTGTCCAATCCCTTGTTATTTTATGGCCTTAGTACCCCTTTGGATTTCACCAGTCGTAAGTGGTAATTAATTTCTTACTCATCTCCCTTTCTTTCTCCGTTTCAAGTTGATAATCGTACTTTGCATCCGTTGTAAACATTATCATTTCTTGTTACTTCTGAAACTTTCATTTCTTTGATAAAGTTTGATCGTTTTACAAGATGATGCGATACCTATCGTATTCAATATTAGATTTCTGATAGCTTTGATCACTTTGAAATAACACACTTCTATTTCTAGACTGTTATATTCAATGCTTGAAATCTTTTGATAATTTTTGATCACTTTATCAAATACAACATCACATCATGTTTATAGACATTTACATTCGATACTCGAATGCATTCGACCATCGTTGATAATGATGTAATACTCTCTTGTTTCCTTATAAACTATTAAATGTAGACAATTGTCTATAAATGCGACTGTACAGCTCCATAAAATGATGTTGTCGAAAAGAGAATTTTAATCGCTAATGCATCTTTCATCCAGTTATTTTATTTCTCAATCTGAATAGTTGAATCTCTAGTTTGTGATAAATATTAGTATCTTTCAGCAGCCTCTGAAGTTTCAACGCCGCTGTTGGCCATATAAAATGTTCCCTTAGTTTCTGTAACTGTACTAGACGTGGAAGTAAACATTTTAGAGGGTTCAAAATGCATATTTTTATGGAGACCAAGTCACTGTCCAGAATGTCGACGTTTCAGACGTTCAATGTAACAGAATCAAAAGTAATAATTTCCCTCTTTGTCCTCGTTGAATTTTCTTTATGCACTCAACTATTTAGGACTTTTTTCATCTTGGATGGTTTTTTAACTCCTGATTTGAGATGTTTAGTTTATTTTTGCTGTTTGGACACTAACACTTGACTTAGCAATTTTGTTTTCTTTATTCATAGTAAATCCTGTAGTTTTATCTTTATTCTCTTATTTCAAGTATATACTTTATCCTTGATTGTGCTTTTGATAGAGTAAATGACTTCCAGTTACCTGACGATCGAGTATTTGGCTCGGTGTGAAATATAAGCGTAACTCAATTAATTTGTGTGGAAAATATCGTACCATGAATAGCCTTTTTGAAAAATGCCTACCAAACGTTCGTTACTTGATTTCAAAAAGTTGTTTTAGTAAGCTTGTGTACAACTTCTAGTGATCGAAAGTACCAGCGTTAAAAAAAGTCAAGGAGCTGTTTACTGGTTCTTAACACCTTTGTTCTTTAAGTACTCAACTAGTTGTGTTCATGGATGCGTATTTATTACAGATCACTCGGCTCTACTTTCCTACGAACATATTTAAAATATGCACTCTTAGTTGTTAAATTAATCAGTCTTCCAAATTGCCCATATTGTGCTTATTTTTCAGAATGTAAATAAATATCTGTACACATTGTTCGAGGACAAAACTACAAACACACAGTCTTCACAAATTGATCTTTTTGTCTTGAACCTCTCCCGATTTTTTTAATCCATTGTTTAGACACGACAGGAAGCTAGTTGGCTGGACGGGAAAATGAATTTGGATGGTCATAAAGTCTACATACTTTCCGGTGATTTAGATGTTTCTCAACGCGAAAAAGTCATTGAAGATTTTCGTTCATCAAATTTCCGAGTTTTAATTACAACTAATGTGTGTTCTCGAGGTTTGTTTCTTATCTTAGTGTTAATTTCTGTTATGCTCTTACGGTTGCTATGTTTCAAGCGATTACAAGATCACCTGAAATCGGCGAAGGGACTGAAGGAACAGCGACATAACGACAAGATAAGCTAAACTGCTCCGATGCGTCCCAACCCTGCTAACTAGAGGAATGAGATCCAGTTTAGATGGAAGAAAGGTATATTCCACAGCACATAGAAGCACGAACAACCACAAGTACACAACTCAAGCGTATACATACAGCATAAAAGTTTCCTTGGGAAACGTCAGAAAATAGCATGTTAAAAGAGGCAACCAACCAATGACGTTTAGGGTCCTTTCTAATGGGAAATACTATCTGAAAGTAAAAGTGGATGTTTTTGGCGCGAAAACGAGGAGTTCAAACTTCCAAAGTAAACTTACAAAAATAAGACGTTTATCAAGTGATTTCTGGGGATCTGGCATTCTCAACAACGGCCTGTCGATATAACGTGATAAGATCGACAATCAGGGTACCGGCTTATACGACCTTAGCCTTGTGCTAAATCAATGCCACGTTAGTCAGCATGAGCAGTCTAGATTCAACTCTAAGTTCTTATTGGTTCTTCTCGCCTAGTACTGCCCATTGAGTCCAGAACACAATCTTAGCTTCCACTGTTCGAATCATATATTACAGACGTACACAGTTTATATACAAAGGAATGAGACTGCATCACACCATAAAATAGAAAATAACAATCATGCAAGATCATGTCAAAAGTGGCTGTGAGTGTGAGAGACTGTATACATTGATATATACATTATATATATATATATATATATATATATATATATATATATATATATATATATATATATATATATATATATATATATATATATATATATATATATATATATATATTTCAATCAACATATGCTCACTAGTGACTGGCTTCAAGACGTATATCCTGGAGTTCTAGTGAGAAGCAGTGACCAATAGAGTTCAACCGGGTCAGTTGTGAGATCACAATAGTGGATGTGTCGCTCAATTTCGTGAATTAGTTGAAGTTAGACATTAACACTGTTGGATACCGGCTCAGTGGTCTAGCGGCCAGGCGCTCTCGCGCGAGACTGATAGGCCCTGGTTTGGAATCCCGCGAGAAGGGGCCGTGGGTGCGCACTGCTGGGGAGTCTCACAATAGAACTAGCCGACCGTCCAGTGCTTCCAGGTTTTCCATGGTGGTCCAGTCTCAATTGACTCATCTATTCTTCGTTAGGATATAACAGCGTCTATTATGCTATGACAATTTATACATAATAATAGTTCCTATAAAGTGTTTATCATCTATAACACATACTATTAATATTCGACTTCTTTTTATAATAGATGTTTTTCAGTTCTGAGGATACATATGATGCCGAAATTATTGGGAGATACTAGAACTAATTAGTTTATTTCATGCTTTTAAAAAAATCTAGTCAATTGTCTTATAACAACATTCTGCTTACAAACTAACTGTTGATGTGTTTTAATGTTATCTTCTGGATGAACTTGTCGTACATTTCTTTTAGATTAGTAGGTAGGACGTTATTAGTTTATTTGGTTGTATATCATTTCATTGAGAAATGGATTCTTCAATCATTTGAACTTCTTTATAAAATACTAATTGGTTTGTCTTTACTTTGTTTACATTAACTAATATAATATAAGATTTATATCAGAAGGGATTTTTTGAATATTGTAGTAATTTTAATGGTGGAGATCATGAGTCAATTAAAACTAGACTATGTTAGGTCCCGATAAGCATAATGAATGGTAACCTTTGGATCCATTTATGGACCAATACTTAACGTATATTTTTATAGTATAATTGTTAAATAACTAAACTATTCATATTCCTCTTATTATAAGCTTTGTTTTGACCGATGAACTATTATTATACAATTTACCATACTTGAGTTATGCCCTGTCTATTAATCACTACCTCCCAAATTCACAGCCACATTTGGCCAAATTTTGTACAAATGTTATTTTCTATTTTATGCTACTTTGTGGTCTATTTGACTGGCATATAAACCGAGTTTGTTTGAAATATAATGATTTATATTGCAGAGGCTGGGACTGGTGTTCTGGACTTAAGTGGCTGGGCTAGGTGGAAAGCAGTACCAATCAGGACTCTAGGCTGCTCGCACGTGTTTTACACGTCATTGGTCCGATCGATAATTCACTGCTCTCTGATTGGGGGCATTATTACGTTACACATTAACAAGGCACTCATACCACAAGATATAACAGACTATCATAGAAAACGGCCATCCAGTACTTCCAGGTTTTCTATGATGGTCTAGCTTCAATTGACTCATGATTTCAACCATTGAAATATAAGATTTACCAAATTTAAAAGATGTGATTATTTTGTTAGCAATTTGTTATTTACATTCTATACTTTTCCACACTTGATTCGTTTGTTTTTTTTTATAGATTTTTTTTAATGTGAATAATTTTTTATCTTGAAGGCTTAGATATTCCACAAGTGAATTTAATAATAAATTGGAATATGCCAACAACAAGAACTGGTAGTGCTGATTGGGAAACTTATTTACATCGTATCGGTAGATCCGGTCGTTTTGGAAAAGAAGGAATAGCAGTCAATTTTATAGTGAATGAAGAAATGTACTTGTTAAAAGAATTAGAATCACATTTTGGTTAGTTGTTAAACTTCATGTTTTTTGTTCTTTTGCAATTGACGAGAAAGTTTATTATCATAACTTGTAGATAATTGATTATCTTCACCTATTGTCCTCTCATTTTTATACCTCAGGTTTTGTGTGATCGTTGCTCTTATTACATCAAAATATCGTAATATACATTGGATCTTTAAAGATAGAAATTTATTTAGGCTTTCTCTTCAGCTATAACTTATTCTGTTAATGTGAGTTTCAAGAGCAGATGATATAGCGAATTCATCAGAAACCAACTGTAAAAGTGTTTTGTTAAATGGTCATGTTGGGTGTACAGTTTATTTATGGATCTTTTCTTACGTTATTGTTTTATTGACAGACATAATGGAAATTATGACATTCAATCGTTTTATAACTGTTTATGGTGAGGCGATAAGCACATATGCATATAAATATTGGTAAAAATATTTCTATTGGCTTCTAGGTACACAATCGGTTAACCTCTTTCATATAGGATGGTAAATAAAGTCCATTTAGATGCAATCGTTGATCACAAATTGACTTGAATACTGTGCCTTCAATTTTATACGAACCGAAAGATATAACGAAGAAATACTAGAAAATTGAATTACATTAATTGGGACAAGCATTACATTAGATAGTGTTTGTCTTGGATTACGTCTAGTTATTGTTATTGTTTATTTATGTATAGTTTATCTCTATTGTTTATTTGATGGAATATTAAAATTTGATGCAATAAACATCATATACTGTAAGCGTTTTAATCATTTACATTATGATTTATTTAACATTTATTCTAATTCTGTTTTAATATTAGAAATAGAAATTCCTGAATTAACTGCTGATGATTTGAACAGATTTTAATTGAAGATCCATTGGTTTGTCATATATATATTTTTGTATTTCTTCTCAGTTCTGATGTCACCATCAGATATTGTATCATCATTTTTCTGTCGGTCAGTGTTGATTTTATTATCAGAGTTTAAAATATATTACTTCTGATATCTAATTTCTTTTATTATTGCCGAAAATCATTGCCTATTCTAACGAGTTATTTTGTCTATCATTGAAGTAGAGCCTGAAAATCTGTGAAGGAATATCAATACACATCATGTATATATATATATATATATATATATATATATATATATATATATATATATATATATATATATGCTTGGATCTTCAGGTTAATGATGATATGACCTGAAATTATTCTGTATATTTTGACATGGCTACTGTGCCGTTTGCGTCACATTTCACTTTTGGTCATTAGTAATAAATTATGGTTGAATAACGGTAAAATGTGGTAGATGGATGAACCAAAAATATTTAGAAGTATCTAATATCTAAGACATATAAACCAAAAAGAAAACAGTTGCACAGAAGGAAAGAAGAATAAACAATATAGTACATTAAAAAAGAAAAAAGAAAAGATTAAAAAAACACGAAGACGGAGACGTAGGAAAAATGAGTGTATACATGCTATGCGAAACAGTCGGTTATGCGTTGTGCAGGAATTTGTAAACGTGTTTATATTCCGATTTTGTGCGGTGTTCACACATGGGATGACCACTTACCTACTAGTGATTGTCGACCACACGGAACATTATTTAATGTAGATTGACTACTATTATCATTATTATTACTATAATTGAATAGATGTTGTAATGCTAGGGTGGTTGAACATGGAATGCGAGTGAGTTGGTGATGTGTTGTGCGGAAATTCGAAAACATGTATGTATTCCGAGTTTGTGAGGTGTTTGGTAAGCCTTGTTAATTTGAACGCTTTATTCAGTTACTAAGCTATTCTGCTAACAAGCTAGCTAGAAATACGCAGCGACCTGAACTCCAAAAGGTAGTCGGTTATGCCGGAACATACGTTTGTGTGTGTTGATCGTCAGAAGATCTTTGCTTTCACCGATACTGATTAGTCCAATTTCACAAAAAACCTGCCACAGTTCGGCTTAGCGAAAAGATCTTCCGGTAAGAGTAACGGATACTGGTGAGACTCTAGAGCTTCATTTAATCCGGTAGAGTAGTCTGCATACAGAGGGACGCTTCCTTTCGAGTAGTCAATGATTAGAACGCCTTACCCGAACAAGTGTTATCAGCCCCATCAGTTAATATTTACAAGGAGAAACTGGATTCTCACTGGAAGGCAGTCTGTCAGGATTAACACAGGTTCACCAACCTACTATCCTTATTACTGAAGACTTCCTGCAACAATTTTCTGTATAGGGGCAGAACCTCTTATGGTGTCAACCTCCACAAGACCAGCATGGAGATGATGGTTGTCGCTGTCATTACGATAACTCTGCGTGCTGGAACTTTTTGAGACTTTTCTCTCGACTGCATCGAAGTTAGGGAATCGGGTACCTTTCTCTACCGTCGAGGTATCGTACTTCAAATTCACTAACATTTGGCACTTGGTAGTTACTTCCAGCAGGGTCATGTTGGGGCAGTGTTCGAGCTTGCTGAGGATTTGTGTTCGGATGTCAGCATCTTATGGTGAACGCAAGCTACAGACAAGTACTAGGCATTTAAACTGGTCTTCAGGCATGGAAGACAACTTGAACCTCTCACACTCTCGGTCCACAATCCCTGCATGCTTCACCCAATCATCTGGTTCTTACGTTATTTGCAAGCATTGATAACGGATACTAAATAGGGATGACTGTTCTCCAAAGATCTGAGACAGGGTTTTAACTGTTTCATCAAAACTAAAGTCTCGTGGGTTCTTCGAGATAATGAAGTTACTATAACGTTCATGTACCATAGTCCCAAGTTTTCTTAGAAGTATTCTGACTTTTGAGGGGTTATCAACTCTGCAGAGATCAAAATAGAACAGATCTTCATATTTCTTAAACCAAAAATCAAAAGTTACACCTGCTGCACCGTCAAAATGAAATCCAGGAATGGCATTAAAAATTGAATCAGTATGAGATATTTATGATTCAAAAAAGCAGTGTCTTTCTGAGACAGGCTAAATTACTGCATCAAGGTTTGCATGATTCTGATTTAGGACTTTAAATCTATACGGTTGACGCTCCGTATACGATTCTAGGTGCTTCGAAGAAATATTTATTGTAGTTTTTCCATCGCCACTGATAAGTATTGTTAATTTGAACGCCTTATTCAGTTACTAAGCTATTCTGGTAACAAGCTAGCTAGAAATTCGCAGCGACCTGAACTCGAGAGAAAAGTCGGAAAATAAGCGAAAAGCACATTATTCTAAAGCATCATTAAAGTACAGTAAAACACGAGAATTTATAAATGATAACATTTGCCAATCCGCTAAAAGGCATATTATACTACTTGCCAACAGTAGCACGCCACGTTGGAATTCTAGAGTGCCCCATCGTGCTCTGATTGACTAGGACTCTTCGGCTCCTTTTGGGCCTCTGGAGGCTCCGTTGAAGTTCTCCGAAAGCCAACTTAACACGTCTCCCGAATAAGGTTTCTTTCTAGGATCTACTTGTAGTTTGACAACTAGGTTGCGGCGGCGTCCCATTATTCTTGACGTATTCCTTGTCCGAGGCTTCTTATCAGTATCCTTGGGCAGATGTAGCGTTGGTGTGTCTATGATTAACGGGAAATTCGGCCGGTGATTTCGAGTCTGCATCGTTCTTTTGTCCTTATGGATTTGATTCGTACAGAACTCTTCCCAGTTTTTGTACAGCTTTTCCGAGCTCCCATTGGTTCTTCCGAATGTAGGGTTTAATGAGAACTTCGTCGCCAACATTAAAGCTCCGGATATTTGGATTGTGATTGTGCCCATCCACTAATTTGGATGGCAACATGGCCTTGAAAACTGTCCGAATACGCCTTCCGAACATGGCTTCAGCAGGAGACTTACCATCTAGAACATTTGGGTTCGGAGTGATTCTGTAGGATGTTAAAATTTTGTGATTACTTGTCCAGTTGTCCCTTCGCTTCCCCTCTCTTTATTGCTCGTTTAAAGGTGTGCACAAAGCGTTCTGCTTGGCCGTTCGATTGCGGATGATAGGGCGGAGAACGAAGATGAGTTATTCGATTTGCACTGCAGAAATACTTAAACGATTATGTGATGAGTTGCAAGCCATTATCAGTTACTAAGGTCTCTGGAACTCCGAAGCAGCTAAACAAGGTAGACAAATTGTGGGTTGTTTCTGATGTTATACAATTGGGCATGGCATGTACTTCTGACCACTTGGTAAATGCAATTACGATAATTAGAAACATTTTTTCTTGGATTGGATCAGCAGAATCTTCGTGAAGTCTTACCCAGGTTCCTGCAGGCATTGGTCAATACTGAGGTTCGCATTTCAAAGGATTTTTAGCAGATTGAATGCATGGTGGACAGTTACGGCATTTATTCTCGATATCTTTGTCCATTGAAGGCCAATAAGCATAACTACGAGCCAACGATTTCATTTTATTGATTCCAGGATGGCCACTGTGAAACTGCTTGAGAACCTTTAGACGTAATAACTTCGGAATAACAATTCGATCACCGAACATATTACACGAGTCGACAACCATTAGTGAGTCTCATCGACCAAAATATTGCAGAAGTTCTCCGTCAAGGCGATTGTTTGGTCAGTTGATCGAGAGATAGCATGTAACCGTGCTCAATATCTTATAATTTTCAGTGATCTTGATAGTTTCAAAGGTTACTGGGAGTCCATTAATTGCGTCATCTAATACACGATGAACTTCTTTCTCAGCTTTTATATTCGCTACAAGAGTCTCCTCTGGGGTCTTTGATTGGAAGCTTATTAATCTTGACAATGCATCAGCTTGCCCGAAGGCGGTAGTAGACTGATACTTGATCTTGAAGTCGTAACCCAGAAGGTTGCCCATCGTTGGAGTCGTTTAGCTGTATGAGAAGGAATTCCTTTCTTTGACCCGAAAACTGAAAGTGGTGTCTTATGGTCTGTTATTAGGGTGAAATGTCGACCATATATCATCTTATGGAACTTTTTCACTGATAAGATAATTGATAAGGCTTATTTCCCAATTTGACTATAGTTCCTTTCGGTCGTTGTCTGAGATCTGGCAACGTGGGGGATAGCTTTCTCAGGCTCATTAGGAAAAATGTGAGAGATGACTGCGCCCACACCATAGTTAGAAGCATCTGAAGCAACGACTATCGGTAGAGAAGGATCATAATGTGTCACAAGAGATTGGATGTTAGGAGTTGCTTGATTTTCTCGAAAGATTCTTGACAGTCCGTAGACCAATTCTTACTTTTATTCTTTTTCAGTAGGTGGTTTATTGGAGCACGTAGACGATGGAGATCGGGGAGGAGGGCACCATAATGGCTGACCAATCTTAAGAACGATCGTAGGGTAGTAATGTCCCTGGGTCTAGTCATTGTTCTAACAGCTTCAATGTTCTCTGGGTCTAGTCGTCTTTCGTCTTTATCTATTATGAACACAAGGTACCGTAGTTGCTGCACATAGAAGTAACACTTTCCCGCTCGGAGGCGAAAACCATAATCGGCTATGCGTTCTAGTACCTGGCCCAGTTTCTTCTGCAGGTCCATTTTGTCTGCTGCCATAAATATGATGTTATCTGGATAAGCTGCTGCCCCTGGAATGCTTTGTAACATGGTACTCATAATTTGCTGGAAAATCGAGGGCACCGTCTTCACCCCAAAAGGTAGTCGGTTATGCCGGAACATACGTTTGTGTGTGTTGATCGTCAGAAAATCTTTGCTTTCACCGATACTGATTAGTCCAATTTCACAAAAAACCTGCCACAGTTCGGCTTAGCGAAAAGATCTTCCGGTAAGAGTAACGGATACTGGTGAGACTCTAGAGCTTCATTTAATCCGGTAGAGTAGTCTGCATACAGAGGGACGCTTCCTTTCGAGTAGTCAATGATTAGAACGCCTTACCCGAACAAGTGTTATCAGCCCCATCAGTTAATATTTACAAGGAGAAACTGGATTCTCACTGGAAGGCAGTCTGTCAGGATTAACACAGGTTCACCAACCTACTATCCTTATTACTGAAGACTG